ATTTTAGTAGCTAAACGCAATGTTTTTATTGATGCATTTGTTTTTCATTTTAACCGTAGAAAACCTTTTGAAATATTATATACATAAAATTATGTACCATTACTATTTTTTTCTAATCCAGTTACCTCTCTGGCGTGGGTTCGATCCCAGGGAGATGCTTTGGTAGTTTAGCACGGAGGAAGGTAGTCTAGTACTGGTGTAACTCTCCAGGAACGATGGTTAGGAAACTACCCGCCTATCTGACTGAAATACTATTGGGAAAAGGCGTAAAATGAACAAAAGCTGCATATTTTATTTATGAAAAAAAGATATTTATAGTTTTGACAACATTTTCAATACAGCTACCATGGTGGTAAAATGTTAAAGATTTGTCAACTATGCTGAAAATACACGATCTGCTTGATTCCTTTGGTGTCTACACGGTCAATATGTGTAGCATGCCTATGTAAGCATTTATAGTACAAAAATATTCTGTAAAAATAAAAAAGTAGGTAAAGGTAGAGATCGAACCAAAGACCTCTCATATATAAGGCTAACAATCGATTGTGTTACTGTGGATGTGACCACCATTTATACTTTAAGCAGGTGTAACTTTTCAAAAAATGCATGTAGGTTATTAACTCCAAATTAATTGTCGTAAACTGCATGGACAGAAACCGAAGTAGGATCGAGTTTTTGAATGAGTGCTATAATGTATTCATAATTGACAGGTCAATAAAATCAGACTTAACAATGTTGCCATGTCACTAATGGTGTGTTTTGGTCGCCATTCCTGGACGCCTGTCTTAAGCCAATTAGAATGGAGAATTAAATACCACATAACAAATGAAAATACTAGGAGTGCAGAAGTGTGTGGAAACATGCAAAGATATTGAGATTATATTAAAAAATATTAAAATGATATAAAGGAATTTCGTATCATGGGCGAAACATAAACTTTTAATTTTTTCAAGACCACAAACAATGGGGAATGCTATCCACCATGTTCGAAACCAGTGTGTAGGCTCCAGAACGGTAAACAATATTCTGAATATTTCTCATAAAAGAAACATTAGCTCTATTGTTCAAGGAGTCTATTTCACGAAAAAATTAAATTAAATTACCCGCTGAACGGCGATACCAAAAGCATTTTTTGGAAATACTTATACTATGCTTGTTTTATTTTGCCGTATATTAATAAGTCAGTCAATATTAACCCGATTTCTTTTCATGAGTGGCTAATTGAGATTGCTTTCTTTGAAGTTGATACGATTCCCATATCGCCTACTGACAGTATCTCCATATAATTTATCTTAATTTTCTATAATAATAGGGATACTCCACTTCAAAGGTCAACAATAACAGCAATGTAAATCGATTCCTCTTTGATAAGTGCAATGAACGTATTCGTGAGTAAAATTTCTTGAAATTCTTCTAACATCGACAATAATCCATTACAGCTTATGTCTTATGATACGTTATCATTTAATGTACTATAAATAAATCAAAAGATATTTCCTCGTTCTTATTTGTATTTCTTAAAATATCGGATTGTCAAACTGATTAAACAGTGCGGGAGTTTATAGTCATAGAATTCTGCAGTAACTGGATATAAATTTGACGCCTTTGACGCCTTCAGCTGGTACTGGAAACTATTAATGGATTTATCCAAACATAAACGAGAACATAGTGCCAATTGGTCTCAAGATAAGCTTGTCACAAACGATTTTGTCTCATAAAAATTAATATGTAGTGTATTAAAACTCCAAAATTCACGATTATTAAAATAGACCTGTGCAACTTGTGTCCTTGTCCTTCCTAACAATGTTGACATTTGGTCCAACTTATAACAATGCCTCAAAGTTTACAATATAGACAATTATGTTATCCTGACCTGCTTAGTTTGAACTAAGCCTCTGACTAAGAAAATGTGCATTGTGTGTAAAACACTCCCTCTCACGATGGTGGACACAAGTGTAAAGTTATACTAAGATTCCTCCATGCATGTACAAGGTATGGTCCGGATAAAATATCTTCATATATTCATCTCTTGTGACCTTCGGCTTGTAAAATTGACCCGAGTTATGCTGACAATACTAAATCTTAATTGTTTTGAACATTTGCGATCAAATCATTACATGCAAGACATATAACACATTTCAATATTATGTTCTGACTCTTTGATCTCTATGTGTGATCTTGGCCACAGGTATATGTACTTTGTGCTGACACTCTAGCTCACACTGGTACTTATTTGTGTCTGCTTACACTAAAATCTCTACATAGACGTTTGCAAAGGGTGTTTTTCTTTCTGAATATTTGAGTGACATTGATCCATGCACTCAACACTACCGTATGGCTAATGAATATTTGCATTAATATTTACCCAAACCATCCGTGCATGAAGACGATATGCTTCATATAAAATCTGTACCAAGAATTTCTTAGCTTATAAAGGACCATAGTTCTAGGGGAAAATCCATGCTATAATTATGGGCCATTGACAGTGACCTATTATGATCTCAAATAAATGTGCGGATTTACCAGCAAATAATTTTAGTTGTTGATGAGATTTGTTGTTGTATTGGCCTTTAACAGTGACTTCGATCTCTCAAAGCAATGTTTTTAAATTTCATGTGGATACCAGGGATGGGTACCATTATTTTTAAAAGTATTTAATTATTTAATCAATATTATCAAGTTTTTTATACTAGTATGTTAGATTATATGCCTAAACTAAGTACATATAAGAAAATTAAAACAAACATATGTCAGGAAAAATATTTATCTTGTGTTGTTAATAATAATCATCGTATTGCTCTATCAAGATTACGCTGTTCAGCACATAAATTAGCTATTGAGGAAGGTAGATTTCGAAATATAGAACGTTGTAATAGAAAATGTGTGTATTGTAATATGAAGGTAGTAGAAGACGAATATCACTTTGTATTGGTCTGTCCGTTTTATAGAGATGAAAGAAAAGAATGCCTTCCAAAATATTATTGTAATTGGCCATCTTCACAAAAATTTAAAGGATTGTTAGCTTCAAATCAAACAAGTATTCTGTGTAAACTTGCAAAATTTATTTATATAGCAAATAAGAAACGTACCGGATGATATACTATATTAAGAAATATGTGTTGGTTACACGTTTCAATGATCATGTATTTGTATTTTACAATGTAGCCACGTGAAACTAATTGATCTCATACATTGGCCTTTTTATAACAAGAAAAAAATGACAACATTATATGGCACGGAATTCACATGCAAAATCAAACTAACATGTATATCATGCATATGACAGTAAAGTATCCAACCATCGACAATCAACACGATAATTTAGGTCAGTGTATCAAATTAATTTTCATGTTATGTTTGGTCTTGTGTTTTTTTCGTTACTGTTTATGTTTTATATAAACATTGGGTGGGATATATGCCGATATAATGATACTACTATATACACATGCTATTGATGTATTAATGTTAATATATGTTGATATAATAATACTACTAATATACACATGATATAGATGTAATAATACTCATGCTCTTCTCATTTTGTATGTAACCGCCGCAATTGAATGTATGGCGATGAACATGTTTATGTTTATATGCTAATAAAATAATTGAATTAATTACAATTAAAATGGAACTCTCCAATTACATTACAATACATGAATTTTCACATTGTAATTAATTAATTACAATTCAATTAAAAAAATAATTAATTACAATTAATTATTTTCTACTTAAACTGCTTTAATATGAAAATAACATAGTTACAAAGCACACCAGATACAGAAATTTTATTTTCACTTTGAAAACATTAAATCAAACTCATCAGTCTGTTTTCACAATGCCTTGTTACATTTAACAAACATGAGAGCTTCAAAGTTTTTGTCACTCATATTACATCGATCAGGACGAAAAACTTTGCCTGCAATAGAGAACAGTCTCTCCACGGGTGCAGATGAGGCTGGTAGAGCCAGATATTGAATTGCAAGCTTGGACATTGTTGGCAGTCTAACTTCATTTAATGACCAATATGTAAGAGGGTCAGACTCGTATTTTTCACAGTCTGCTAGATATTTTTCCAGCTCTGCATTTATTCCAGAGGCACGTCTCTGATTGATGCAAGTTTGTGAAACATTTATAATACATTGTTGTTAGAAACAAAACCTTAAATAATCCAATTTTATTTTAATATACTCTTGGTCATACTTATAACAAAATTTTGTGTCTCATGCTCGTAAAAGAAATTTGCTACTATCAAATTATCACATCAAATGCATCCTAAGGCATTGGTCATTAACGTATTATTTTTATTTCGACATGACTGTTTGGTTTCTTAAATTAAATGAGTGGCAATGACTTATAACAACAGTAATTTTGTGCCGTTGGTAGTATCCATCAACCATTTCTTGTCTTTTTCGTTTCCGGACTAGACTGGTTTTCTTTATGGATAAACTTGAAAACTTTACATAACAATATATATATATATATATATGCTTGTAATATTGTAATAGTCACCGTATTATTTTGTATAATATCTATTGTTGTTAACCTAATTTATTAGTGTTAAGAAATTATTGTACATGATGTATCTTTGTATATATTGTATGTTCTGCTCTCCATAACTGGAGGAAATAAAGAATCTATCTATCTATTAAAATCATTGACAGGTGATTATCAATTATCACTTCTTGGCAGACAATACAGGTGGAAAGGTATGCATTTTACCTAAATCAGATCAATGGTTAATGTGCGCAGAATTTAGATTAATTGAATTTAATTAATTGCATTTAATTGACAATTAAATGAAGAATTTCAAAAGGTAATTAATTAATTACAATTAAAGTATTTGAGTTTTGGCTCAAATAACAAATATTTTTAATATGTTTTATCATACATTTGTACTTAATTGTAATTGATTAAATTATAATTGTATCCATCCCTGGTGGATACCTAACCTTCAGTAGGGCAATAATTCAGTCAGGACCTATTGAAAGGGTTAAGAGTCTTGGATAGTGACCTCCAATTATGGTCCCGTTCTATGTTATAATTATGATTAGTTTCAAGTGAATGCCCTCAGTAGTTTTAAAGATTGATGTTGCATTATAATTTAACCAAGAATTTTCAGTTTACTCTGGGCCATAAAGCAGACAAAATCAATGCCCGAGCTTTGGGCCTTGGACAGTGACCTTCAATTAGAATCCCAAAGATATTATTGGTTTCAGATGAATACTTCCAGTTGCTTTGAAGATTAATGTTGCATACAAAAAAATTAACCAAGATTTTTTTAAGTTCACAAGAAAACATAGTTCAATCAATATCCAAGTCCAAGCTATGGGCCTTAGTAAATAACCTCCACTAATTGTCACAAAGACATGTATAACGTTTCAAGCAAAAATCTTCAGTAACTTCAAGTTTTAAGAAAGAATTTTCAAAGTTCATAAACGGCCATAATTCTGAAAAATTTCATGCTAGAGTTATTGGCCTTGGACAGTGACTAAAACAGTTATGTGGAGTCATAAGTGGTTAATGAGATATGATGTTGTACAATAAGTTGCACATAAAACTTTAAACAAAGTGTTACACCTACGACCCTAGGGCGAGTTGGAAGGCTCAAATATTCCCTAAATAGAATTTAAGGAACATGAAGTTTTGAAAGAAAAAAAGGCTTATAAAGTAAAGCATGTGTGACATTTTTGTAAACAATAATTGCAGACACTAAACCAGTTATTCAAGTTTGTTTTTATTTTATAATTCATCAATTAAAAAAAGGCACAAGAAATTAAATAAAACAATGTAGGTTACACTCAAATCATCTGTCAATAACTTGATAACAAATAATCAAATGTCAATAGTTTGGTGCTATACACATTCTTATTTTTTGTATTTGAAAATGTAATTCACATTCAAATGTCATTATCTTCCTAATGTGTCAAAGAAGTTAGCCAATCGACATCATTTAAAGTAGCCATTAAAAAACAAGCAATTTGCTTATGCTTAACATGTAGTAATGATATAGTAATAAAAATGTCATTCCAGCCACAATCAGCAATAACAAATAGAATAAACAATTGTGCATACAAGATCCACCTTGTGCAAACATTTTATTTACAAGACAAAAAAAACATTGAACGTTTAAAGAATACATGCAATGATTCCATTTCAATGAATCTATCTTTTAGACATGCTAGTTGTGTGAAGTTTGGTTAAAAAACTTGACTCTTCAAAATCAATGTTATCTAAATCATTACTTTTATCATCATTAACACTGAATGTTGGAGTAACTGAGGATGAACTTTGACAAGTGCTGATATTTGGAGAAGAGAATTTCTTATTTAAAGTCACCAACCATGATGGAGATTCCTTTTTACTCTGAATAAGTTTAGAACTGACACTTACTGACTCTTTAATGTTATCTGAGTTTTTAACTGTTTTATTTGTCATGTCTATATTTGTGTTTCTGTCTTTCATATTCCCTTCTGATGTAGAAGAAAGTCTCCTCTCTTCCACTTGAAATCCTTTGTTTCCTGGTTTCTCAATAGTTTCCATATTCACATCAAAAGAAGTCTCTTCACTATTATTTTGTTTATCATGAGCACTTTCATCCCCATTTGTCCATAATGATCCGGACAATAAACTTTTTGATAAGCCTGAGCTTGCAGATGAATTTAATATACTGCTTTTTGATTCATCAAACTGAAATTTTCTTAATTTTGATAAAGTAGAATTTGACACAGACTTGCTTTTTGAATCATTACAAATTGAATTATCAGATACAGAACTTACAATATTATTTTCTTTCGTATTATGATTCTTTTCTCTTTTCTTTTGCTTCTTCTTTAATAAAACAGTATCTGCACTGTCATCACTTGAATCCGAAATAATTTCATTTTTCTTTCTTTTTCTTTTCTTCTTATCAGTAGTTGTGTTCTCTGATGAATTAACCTCATCCTCACCAGTTCCTGACTGCTTAACATGATTTAACTGTTTTTCAACAGTAGTTCTCTTTTTCTGTATGTCAGATAATGCTTTCTTTACCTTCCCTGACACTGCCCTACACTCTCCAACGTTCTTTAATTTCTTCTCTTTAATACAAATCAATTTAGATCCTCCAACAGGCTTATCTTTACTATCAACTATAGCATCACATTTAGTGTCATCTTTGTCTATTTCAATAATAGCTTTTGGTACCTGCGTTAACCTGTTTTCAATTGTCTGCCTTATCACAGTTTTAAAATTGCTTTCTGCTGTGGTTAAACATTTATTATCATTTATTTTTGCATTGTCTTTTACTATATCTGTACCATTCTGTTGTTGTTCATTGTGTGCCTTTGGTCTCAGAGGAGTTGATGCATTTGATGGAAGGACTTTAAAATTACTTGAAGAAACCTCAGACTGTTGACTGATTTGTGAACACGTTCCTAAACTGAGACCTAGACCTACACGAGGTAGTTCTTTGCACGAGTTGATGGTCTCATCACTGCTAGAGTTTAACATATCAGATAATGATATATTTGATAAATCATGGTTATTACTAGTGACAGGAAGAAGGCTGGTAGTAGTTTCAGACGATTCTTTTCCTTTATTAACATTATTATCTATTGATGCTTCATTAACGTTTTTATTTTTCCTGATACTGTCATTGCATGTTGATGCTATTGTTGGGCTGCCTTTACTCTTTAATGTGTCATAGTCTGCAATACTGTCAGTGCTTTGTTCTACTACTTTATCAACAGTGATCTTTGATGAATTTTGAACCTTTATATTAGGTTTTTCACAACCTCCTGACATTGCTGGATTGGTACCTACACACAATTTTCTTTTTTGATCCATTTCTTGTATATCTTTCATTTCATCTTCAAGTAAATCTGGCAGATTTAGTCTTTCAAGTATCATTTGAGCTGTAAATTAAAAATATACATAGAGTTACTATAAAGAACTTGTTTTCTTTTCACTATAAAACTGAATGAAAAAATAGACAATTAAACTGGATGAAAAAGTAGGCAATTACACTAATCTATAGATGTTTAAACAATTTCCCTTCTTCATGTTGCTTATTTTAATAATCCCTGAACCATAATTGTTAAACAAGTACAAAATTGAGAAAATATAAAAAAAAGAAAAGATACTGTGGGCATAAGAAACTCATGCTCATAATATGTTAGCCAATAAACAAAATTAATGTTATTCAGAACAAATATAATTCATTTATTTACAGACTAAAATAAAATAGTACCATTTTAATACCAACACAAGAACATCAGTATTTTTGCTCCAACACTGGATTAACAGAATTACCATAAGACACATTAGTTTCAAACTTGATCATACCTTGAACTTTGTATTCTTCTTCGGGATCATCAGGGAATGCAGTGTGTAATGCATTAACACCTCCAAGTAACGCTGCTCCCTGTCAACATAAATATGTTCACAAAGTTTAACATCATTATTTTTAATACTTGTATATTATGTCGAAAATACTCACAGATTTTATCATATGAAGATCTGCAGGACCAAGACTGTCCTTAAGATCTCAATTTTAAGAACAAACTTATAGGCACCTGGTTAAAACCATCAACCTTCTACTATCTAGCTGGATAGCTATCAAATATTATATAATTAACACATAGATTGGTGAGTAACAGTAACAAGAGAGCCAAGATGGCCCTAGATTGCTCATCTGACCCATCAAACTCATCCAAGCAATTACCTAGACAAGCATTCTGACCAAGTTTCATGACAGGTGAGTAAATACTGTGACCACTAGAGTGCTAACAAGGATTTTCCATATTTGAGCAGTGTGACCTAGTTTTTGACCCAGGTGACCCATATTCAAACTTGACCTAGAAACCATCAACACAAACTTTCAGACCAATTTCCAGGATATTTGGATCAAAACAGCAGCCTCTAGAGTGTTAACAAGATTTTTCTATTTTTAGCTCCTGTGACCAGTTTTTCATCCCAGATGACCCATGTTCGAATTCATCTGAGCAATTACATAGACAAGCATCCTGACCAAGTTTGATGACAATTGAGTCAAAAATGTGACCACTAGAGTGTTAACAAGGTTTTTCCATATTTGTGGGGGGGGGGGGGACCTAGTTTTTGACCCCAGGTGACCCATATATGAACTTGACCTAGAGATCATCAAAACAAACTTTCAGACCACTTTCAAGGATATTTGGATCAAAACAGTAGTCACTAGAGTGTTAACAAGATTTTTCTATTTTTAGCTCCTGTGACCTAGTTTTTTAACAAGATGACCAATCTTCGAACTCATCCGAGCAATTACCTATACAAGCATCCTGACCAAGTTTGATGACAATTGAGTCAAAATTGTGACCACTAGAGTGTTAACTAGGTTTTTCTATCTTTAGCTCATGTGACCTAGTTTTTCATCCGAGATCACCCGTGTTCAAACTCATCTGAGCAATTACCTAGACAAGCATCCTCACAAAGTGTGATGATGATTGAGGCAAAAATGTGACCACTAGTGTTAACAAGGTTTTTTCTATTTTTAGCTCCTGTGACCTTGTTTTTCATCTGAGATGACCCATGTTTGAACTCATCCGAGCTATTACCTAGACAAGCATCTTGGCAAAGTTTGATGATGATTGAAGCAAAATTGTGACCGCTAGAGTGTTAACGAACAAATGAAGACGGACAACGGACATTCAACGATCCTAAAAGCTTACCCTGAGCTAGCTCAGGTGAGCTAAAAATACTGTTACCCAAGGTATTACCCATACTTCATTTGGACACTGTTCCTATAGGTTTCTATTTACCAGATTTTTACTGTAAAAAGTACTGTTATCTATGTAACAGTACAAAATTTAAAGTCACATGGTACACTTAAATTAACATTGGCATTATGGGAAAATAACATTACAAAAATAGTGAGGGTAATGAAACAGATTCTAGACAGAATTCTTAAAATCAAATCTTATATGTTCATCAATGGATGATAATTGTTGGTAGTAGCAAATTCATAAGTATTGTATGTGGTGTAAACACTTGTCTGTAAAGGGAAAAAACAACTAAAAAAATATATAATTCAATAGTGTTATGCACTTCACTTCAAAATAAGATGAATTACTTTGTGATTGTTATTGTTCAAGATAGAAGTATTAACACGAAAGTTTCCAATGTGAAAAAGAGGCGTTACTCTATAAATACATGTAACTTAGACATATGTGGATGTCTCTAAATTCAAAATTTCACCATTTTCCTGTTTAAATGTTGAATTCTGCTTAAGCCTGTGCTAGGGGGCGTGGACAGTAACTTGCACTTTCCAGTACCGTCCATGAACAGGCTCAATCAAACCGAGCCTGCAACATTTTCAATTTTGTCGTGTTGAGCTTTCTTTAGGGATTCTGTTTTTCTCTATTTTAGTGTTCATTGTACTACAGGTCTGTCTTGTCCCCATTAACAAGTATACCAAGAATGAGTAAAATATCTTTCAAAGTTTTTATTTCTCGTATCAATAATCAATTTTTACAAGTATTTGTCAACTATATTTCCAACTTTGCTATTCTCTTATCATCCTACTTCTTGTTGAACTTTCCATTAAATTGAAATTGATTTTATTATTGTTAATGAAACACATTTTGTGTTGATATCTTTATAAGTGTTTGAGTAATGGGCTACATTATATTATTTACGCTATGTCCACAACAACAACAATGCAGCGATTATAACAGGCAAAATTAACATATATGTATGCAATCATATTCCAATCGGCAGTTATATTATAAGTTATAAAGATTTTTGACAGGTTATATGGCTCTATATAAAAGGTTGTTTGTAAATATAACCCAAGCAGCTAGGTAGATCCAGTTTGTGTTAAATTTGCCATATTTTCAGTCTATTTGTTGTCATAGCAACCAGAATTTTCAACATATGGAAAAAAAAGAAAAAAAAAGATGTGCATAATCTCCATACTGCCATCTATCCATATATCAAGTTTCATAAAAAAATTTTCAGTACTTTTTGCATTATCGCGGGATCCAGTATTGTGGATGGACGGACTGATGGAAGTTCCAACATTTTGGGTTTAGGGGCTATTTTCTTTGTAATTTTCTTTGTTTTCTTAAGGGCTACTAGCCCATAAACCCTTTGATCACGGAATGAACCTATTGTTCTCTTTTGTTCTCTTTACTGTTATATAGCCCCTAAACCCAAAATGTTTGCTCGGACGGACAGATGTCCGGACGGACGTTCCAACATATTGGGTTTAGGGGCTATTTTCTTTGTTATTTTCTTTGTTTTCTTAAGGGCTACTAGCCCCTAAACCCTTTGATCATGGAACGAACCTATTGTTCTCTTTACTGTTATATAGCCCCTAAACCCAAAATGTTTGCTCGGACGCACAGAGTGTCCCCTCTGGTAAACCGGTAGGGGACTAATAAAAATCCCTTTCATAAACAATCAGACCATCCTCTCCCTTATATTCAAATCTAGTTAATATACAAGTCTGTGTTTTAACAGATTGTGCTTTTCAAGTTCAGGGAAAATGGTTGTACAGAAATGTTTTTACAGAATTGCTTCACTGTAACTTGTAAAATGTAACTTCTAAAGTATCTCTATCACTTCAGTGTAATTAGAAGGTTTTATATTTTCATTTCATTTCGATGTTTTGATTTCCCTTGCCTATAATAATTGTTAACTTTTTGCCTAAAGCACACTAGATATGGAGACAGGATTCTCATGATGGTAGTATAAATGAAGACATAAATATCTTATAATCATAATAGTGAGCTTTTAAATTAATGCTGTTCCTTAGAGAGTAAAATACTAGTCCATGTCCATTACAATCTCTAAACAAAGTCATTCAAAACACATTAAAATGGAGAAAATTTTCATTAAAGGTTGCTTTTTTTCCAATTTCAGTTCCTATTTTCATCATAATGATTAATTAATTAATTGCAAGGTTTCCTATTACCTAGCAAGCATTCATGTATTTCAATCAATTAGAAACAAATATGCTACGACATTGTTGATATTGTTCTAGGGAAATAAATATCCAATGTTGATGTAACTTTATTGTAATCAATCAATCATATATGAATTAAAACTTTGTGTTCATTATCTCATAAAATTTTGTAATGAGATATAACAACTCTGTATTATATCAAATAAGACAAATGACGAGCAAAAAACCTCTTAAGGTAGCTAGTGGATTAGTTGTTCCCATGGAAACCAAATTTGTAATAAAATGAATATTTTCCATACAATAAATCTATCCATACAACGTTGAATGGAAAATATGTTCTTTAAGATTTGTATGAAATCCACTATTCATGAATAAAAGATAGATAGATGGTTTAATCAAACAAATCTAAATACAAAATATAATTACTTATCTATAAATTTTGCAATATTTATACTCATACCTAAATAAATGACCCCGCTACATGGAATCAATTCTTGTATCACTATATGCCTTTTTGTATCTATTTTAGATACAATTTCCTACTTCTACATCAAAAACTATAACCATTCATACATTTATAACTTTTATAAATTATCACAATAGGATACTAGTAAATATCTGTACAGTGGCTGAAAGTAACTGTTGTTTACTGAAGTTGTGAATGATATGTGACACATGGAAAACTGATGACTGGCATCAATGTATCAAGAATTAGGCTGTGAGCAATCTGTTCTCATGTTTGTGCTCAGTACAAAAAAGTGAGGTGAGATATAAGGAAAACCTGAGCTTCAAAAATAATTTGATGAAGATAAAAAACTGACATGAACTATTCCCCTACAATAAATTTCAGTGACATGAAAATTTGATTTCACAATTTTTGACCATAAAAGGTCGCAAAAAGATAATGCCCTATTGCAAACACAAGTCTAGTGCTTAATAGTAATATAGAAAAAAGTAACAAACTAAAGAACTGATTACTCTTACATAAAAAAGTAATTTCTGAAGTCATTACTTTTATTGAATTGTCTCTTTTTAGCCCTCACCCTGCTGGAACTTAAATTAACTAGCCTGTGTCACCAGTATAGTTCCAGGCCAGCCTGAATATCCATCAGTCTGGCCAAGCTCTATACCGTTGGCTGACTAATTTCATATTTTTATCTCAACTGATAATGGAGACTCAAGATTTCCAAAAAATGGAAGCTGGACAAGACAATTTTAGATACTCAGCTGGTTGATGGTTAAATAGAACCAGGTTAGGTACAACAAATAAACAAAAGAAGGCTAATTAATCAACCTACTTGCATTGAAGATTCCATAAGAGTTACAGCAACAACGGCATCTTGTACAAGAACTTTATCTCTGAACATCAGACGTGCATGAGCTGGAAAATAATTATCAAACTTTACATATTTTCCTCATTATTTTCATAGTGATGTACTTAAAGAAAACCATCAAGCAAATCTAATATTTCTGTATTATTTGTCAAAATAGTAAATGTTCAAGTTTGAGATCATATAAAAGATACTTTTATAAGGATTATGTTGAAGTGTTACCCTTGGTTGTCACTGTTATGTCAATTTCTATAAGTAGCTAGTAAAATAACAACAAAGACTGGACTGGTGAATATAAATCAAATCTATAGACCTAATCCAAAAACCTTTCAAAGAGTGAACTTCTAGGTTGATCATTATTTTGTCAATTTAATAACTTCTGTGTAAGTTACTGACTAACAAAAATGTGTGTACACTGAATTCAAAATCTGTAGATCATAACTATCTATGTTGAATGATGTAACAGAAAAGCCAAAACAGGAAAGCATCAAACTATATGAAGTTATAATAATGATAATGATTTTTTTTATTGTGGATAGTATACTTTTCGGTTCATTTCTATTTAATATGCTGTGCTATTTCAATAATTTCAATGATGTAAAAAAGATGTAACAAATCTATAGATCCTAAGTTTTTTCCAGCTCAGCTTACAACATTACATAGGTATAAAATTTTAATAATGCATGTAGTTTAAGAAATTACCTTGTGACAATCGGATCATGCTTTGTAGAAGTCTCATGGTAGTTCTGGCAGCATTCCTGTCATCTGAACCTCTCTGTGCATGATAATACTGCCTCAATACACTGTAATACAAGTTAAATTACTGTTTATCCAGATAGATAGAAGGGAGAGAATACAGTGATACCATGAAAATAAAACAAACTTGTTCTCACAGATTCAGGTTCCTTCTCCTAACAAAATTAGTCACAATTTTGAATTTTCACCAGGAATTTAAGGAAATTACTGAATTTTATTTTTTGCAAATTTGTAAAAAAAATCACAAAAGATACACAATTAATACAATATATATAACTTTTCAGTAATGATAATGATGTAAATCTCTGGCAGAAACATGCTTTCTGATATGTTAAAATAATTTAGCATGAAAATAAAACAACTGATAAATGTCAAGCTTGTTCAAGCTATTATGGTTGCTAAAGTTTTCTATTTTATCATGCAACTGCTATGGTAACTGCCCGATAACACTTGCCTGATAATTATTTTTGTTATCACGTCAGTAACCTGATATCAAAAATTAGCCCCGCCCATTTTAACGGACTTTTTTTCAATTGCTTATATTCTCATTTTCATCAGCATGTGAATTCTACAATGTAATCTCATACCCTTACAAGTCTTGAATCAATATGCGAAATTTATTTATTTATTATTTCGATTTCAATTACGAATAAATTAGATAGCGAATAGTTTGAAGTGACGTCATAATTTATATTGCAAATGACATCATCGATGTTCACGTCATACTATACATGTAATCATAACAAACAGGCTAGACGATTTTCTTTGAGAACTTGTAAATGTTTACTTTATTTCGCCGGATTATTATTTAATAAGTGAACAAATTGTTTCGTTTAAAAAATAAGACGCATGTTTGTGTAGCTTGTGTTTGATTGCCGATTCAAATGACTTTTCTTTGATTGAAATTATCGTGAACTTTTGAATTTGACAATTCAAGACAAAAATTGCAGTAAAGTTTAGTTTATGTGATTCTAAGCGGATTTTTGGATTGATGTTTAAATTTAAGGTAAGAATGTTATCGTATTAGGCCTACATTCTGTTGTATTTTATCCGAGTCGAAAAACAAAATGGCCGCCAATTACAAATTCTAAGTTTCAGGGGCGGAGGAATTGTTTTCAAGAATTATTTCTTTGAATAAAAATCCCCCTTTTTAACGAAATTCGCTTTTTAAAAGTAGATTATTTTGTTATTTTGACAGTTATTATGTGTTACATGATAAATAGAAAAACATGCTACTGTCTTTTGATATCAATTTTATCAGGCTCGGCTGATATGGGCTAGAAAGGGCGAGGCTTGATATCAATTTTATCAGGCTCGGCTGATATGGGCAGAAAGGGCTCGGCAAGCCTCGCCCTTTCTAGCCCATATCAGCCTCGCCTGATAAAATTGATATCAAAAGACAGTAGCATGTTATTCTCTATTAATCAACTTCATACATTTGGGTGTTACAAATCTATTGTTTATCTAAAGCTGAAAACAACACTTAGTCAATGAACTTAAAACAATGCTTCTTTTAATTCTAGATATCAAATGTATATAAAAATTCATTATACAAAATACAATGTAATTATTTCATATTGTAACAAAACTATGTACTAGAATCAGGGAGTATTCCAAAAACATTCCACTCAACAATGGTGTTCTAAATAAGATTTTTTTAACAGTATAAGCATAGTAAAATTATGTTTTTTTATTAAAAAAATAAGAAACCTTGTGGCTCCTGGGGTTAACTCTGGATTTATTGTCTTGATCAGAGAGATGTATGCCTGCATCTTGTCCATGCTCCAGATCAGTGAATGTTTGTCATCTGGATCAACTGGATGCTTGCCATGTAGGATGTAAGAGGAGACAACTGTGTCCCAGTCCTCATTTTGAGTGTCCAGCAAAACCAAGACCAGATCAAATCTACTGAGCAGCGGACTTGCCAAGGCAATGTTCACTGACAGTGACTATAATAGAAGGAAATTGGTGATTTTTATATCTCTAGTGCATTTGTAATGTACAGATATTAGTATTTTAGACCTTCTCTTGCGCTAAAACAAATCTAGCAAGAAAGAAAAAGTAAAGGTAGAAAGAGAACATGCTTCAGTTTTTAAACTGTGAATAAGACCAAAGGGAGGTAATTCTAGATTAGTTATGCAGATTAGATTCTATGCAGTTAATAATATGGAGGCACTCTACAAAAAATCCACTTCTGCTTAAAATCATCTAGTTTTGAAATGTTATAAAGGCATTATTTCAATTAGTGAACATATTTTGTCCTAAATGAGTAACAAATACAAATGGCTGTAATTCACATTCTTTACTTATGGTGGTCTGAGAATTATGAGTTTGTTAATGACTTCATAGGTAACATACCTGGTTAGGGTCATACTGTCCTTTAGGGTTTGTAGCTGCTAATATTGTAGTTCTTGTACTTAACTTGCATACCATTCCTGCCTGAAATGCATTAAATTTTCACACATTTTATAGAACGATAAACATCTTATTTGGGTAACATCAAAACTATATAGGTCATTATATCATTTCTGAAGTTTTCAAAGTTTATCAATTATGACAAAACACACAGGAATGAATACCACATACAGTTTTACAGATAGAAACATGCACCCAGATAGTATCACTGACCTTCCACAGCAATCGTAATGGCAATTCAATAAATTTATCAGAATGAGCACAATTTGGTTTTATGTAGATGCATAAGAGTAACAAAATTATTGTTATATAAAGTAACAGTATTAAGTAAATACTTAAAGAACTAAATTTAAAATGGTAAAAGCTTATGCAGTGATGTATAAACATAACCTTAGTTAGAACATTAATTAAGCTTTCAACTTATTGAAACCACACTCCCTAGTCCATTTCCTGGAATTAAATGGTAAATATGATAACCAACTAAGACCCAAACCCACTAATCCTGTGTTGAGAGGCAGGCACCTTAAGCACTTGGCCACTACTTCCCTTAAACTCACCTTAGCCACACTAATTGTTTGTTGTTCCATGGCTTCATGTATACTAGCCTTATCATGTTCTCTTATACTGTTAAACTCATCTATACAACATAGCCCACCATCAGCTAGTACAAGAGCACCTGCCTCAAGCTGCCATTCTCCACCATCCTGTAATATCAGTCACCTTTATACTGTACAACTTCTTCAAATACATATGTTACTATTTGTAACAATGCCAATAGAATTTCTTGGAATTTGAATATTTGACTTGGAATTTGATTGATTGACATGTTCTTTATTCTTTTTTGTATATACCATACCCATAAGCACCCCCATCACTTAGTATGTATATTTGTATAGCTGTTTAGCAACTAAAGGGTGAACATCCATTCTTTCAATTTTTTTTTTACATGTCAAACATTTACATTTCCTCTCATTAGATATTTTGCTATACATGTATAAAATCTTGAATACTCATACCTGTAAAATATTTATTCACAAATAATACTTGTTTTTGTTACTTGTTTAACAAAAAAAGAAAATATAACTAGCTTTTTAAAATCATCTACATAAGCTGCTGAACTTTCTTAAAGCAAACACTTTCAAACTAACACAGATGACAGAAACTGGTCACATCATTTGACATAATTTGCATATGAAATAATAAAATAAATACCTAAGCAACTAACAATAGCTTTATGGATTCCCACATTAAGTAGGTAAACACACTATGAACAACACTATTTTGACAAGATTTGGTCAATGTGCAACGTCTGTAATATTTTATGATTAAAAAAAACCTGTGTTAAAAACTATTTGCTTACAAGGACTGCATATAACTAACCTGATTACAAGGACATATTACAACTCTCAAACATGTTAAAAGAGGCCACTGTTTTGCATTATAACTGTATTAAATAGTGTCTTAACTTTCACTGCATTAATTACCATAGCTTATCAAAGACTTAACACTTAATCTTATGAATTTGTGTAATGGTTTTGCCCATCTTTGAATCTGAAACAGACCACAGATATACAGACTGGCCTGTCTCTATATATGTAGCAAAGACTGGGTTCCAGTACCAGTATTCTACCAATAAAATAAAGCCTGGACAGACTGCACAGATGTACCACTGGCCTGGCTCTATACTGGTGACAAAGTTTAATCAGCTTTACTTCCAGCAGGTAAAGTGTTAAAATAATGGGACTAACCTTCACAGCTGTAACAGTGAGCCCAGCACTGGTGCTCCCAATCCCTGTAGTAAGGACAGATCTAGGAGTTATCTTAGTGGCATACTTGAGAAACTGGGACTTTCCTGTACCTGAAATATTTAACAAGATTATTGTAGATTTGAGTTATAAAACCTTCATTTACTTAGTACATGTAGTTGGTTTTATATCGGAATGGGATATCAAGTGACAAGCTCTTTAGAACAGTTCTATCTAAAATCAATCTATTTTGTTTACACAACTTAAAAAATCTAACCACATTAAAAAATCAGTAACTTCACTGAGTTTCATTATGTTGACCTGTTGTCTGATAAAATTATCAGTATGATCATTAATTCATGGTAAATGAAGACAAATCTTCTATACTTTAAACAACACTCTAAAATCCCTTTAGGTAAATGTCAGCAATTAATAAATCGAGCTTGAACAAATTAAAGTACATTTAAATATTTTGGGACCATTTTTTTCCATTAAAAAAAACAACTTTATTTGTAGACAACCTGCAGTGTATACACGTATACAGTGGAAAACCTACCCCAGTCTGAAGTTACTACTAGTGCATATCATGGAGAATACAGTACCTGGGTCTCCTACCAGCAACATGTGTATCTCCCCTCTTACACAAGTACCACTTTCATCCTGTCTCTAGGCACAAAAAAATAAAATATATCAATATCAAATTACAGTTTAACCTTTAGCTTACATGTTCATGGAGTATAAAATAAGGATCAAAATTCATATCTAATAATTTTTTTCATGGCTAATGCATTAAAGTGTATGGATCATAATGAACATCTGTCTAAGCCACCATATTCAATTTTATCAAAGAATAAAATATTCATTTAGTCCATTACTATCATTCATTCTCCTCTCTTGTAAGATGTCAACATTCCGGATTGTTGTTTTATTATTAACATGCCTTCAGAGATTTCCTTATAAATGTGACAGAGGCAAGTTGTTATTGCCACTAGTACCACTAAAATTTCTCTAAAGTGGGTGTTGATTTTAGTTCTGGAAACTTCAAATTATCCTATATGATCATACTTCTGCTTTTTGTCCTTTAATAATGTTTCTGCCACTATATGACAATATTGTAAGACTATCAATTCCATGTGTCATCTTAACCTTTAACCTCATATAGACGTGTTTTGACAACTTTTCACAACCCCCTTCCACTTTTTTTTTGAGGCCTCAAATAGTGAAAAAATGCCCTATTTTGGCCCCAAATACTTGTTTGCGTTTTAAATATTGCTAAAAACGTGATCACTTTTTCGATGCCACCCCCTAAAAAATTGGTAAATAAAGGGGGCCAGCAGCCCCCCCCCCCCCCCGTTTCCAAGAAAATTGTGGACTTATGGTTCATAAGTCCCTTATGGGATTTGGACCAACAGTGGTGATGGGCTATAGATTTGAGGTCAATGACCTTGAATCAATGTGATATATTTGTTACATATATTCTGCATACATGCAAAACAAGTGATTCAAAAATGTAACTACAAAAGCTTGCAGCATGCTCTATAATTGTAGAATTTGAAGTAAAATCAACATAAAAAAACTTAGGGTCTAGTCTAACTGGTGGAGTTTAGCATTGGTGCTTATTTCAGGTACAAGCTGGCACCTAAGTAGAATCTCCAACCTTCCGTAAGATAGCTCTATGTAAAAAGAACTATGAGTGTTTGGCAGCAGATATATACCCTTACCTAAGATTTTCAGCTTCATTAATTCTTTGCATAAAGTACCATGATGTGTCAAAAGTGCTTTGTCCTTTTTCCTAACAAATAATTGTAAGAACAGATTTTAGAAATTGTACAGGGATATAATCATTAAGTGATTTTACAATAATCAGCCATATATAACTCACCTGTACCCCACCAGCCAGTACCATGGCAACAGCAAGTTTAACAACATATAATCCGTACACCTGTGGACACAGACATGACAGTATATGGTTGCGGCCTGTCAGAGGCTTAAATTTGTGCTCCTCCCAAAATTTCTCTATCTCTTCTCTCTGAAATTTATAATATACTTCATTATAAACCATTATTTCCCAGAAATGCTTTTATTTTTACTTCTCACAAAAATTTTTTTTTATATTTTTGTTGTCCTGTTAATGTTCCCAAATAGTTACTCATTGGCAAATTACCTGAACCATCTTTACTTTTTTGGTAATGACTAGTGCTAGGATTTAATATTTTGTATGGAAGTCAAAATACTACTTTGTTTACACCTGGCTACTTTTATAGTAAATAATTTCACATTCAGGGCTTCTTTCTTAAGGTGATAAGTATGAAACATGCTCTAAAACCATCAATTAAATGTTTGACTTTGTAAAAAGGAAAAAAAATATTCATTTCAGAGGTATAATGTGCCTTTTACTGAAGCTCTAAGATAAACTTAACATATCAATTTAAACTCAATTGTGAAACAAAGAAAAAGTTTTACAAAGTCATATCACTTTTGTAACAAAGTTTACTTAATGGACTAGCCTGTGCAACTATTGCACAATAAAAGATTATGATGACTTGAGACAGTCATATCACTTATTTAACAAAGTTTACTTCATGGACAAGCCTGTGCAACTCTGCACGATAAAACATTATGATGACCCCACTAGTGTTTAAACCATTTATAATTTGGTTGGAAGTAACAAATATACCACAAGACCTTAAATAATTTTTGTGTTTTATATGAAACCTTGTTTACAGACTTCATTTTTCCCCTTCTTACTCATTCCATTCTAGAATTGAAATACTAGTGATAAGAGTAAATAGTTTTAACTCAGAACCACAGTGATAAATGGCATTTGAGTGTTGTTATTTGTAACAAGATATTTGTGTGTTATCATTTCTAACTTTAAACATACCAGCTCTTGTGTAACAGCAATGGAATTCCTCTGTTCATTTGTAACTATGATGCTATTTGCTTTCAGGAACAGTTCTATATCACATTTGTACTCTGCTGACAAATTACGCCATCTTCGTAAAACAGTGCCACTTAAATGATAATACAAAAACATGCATGCCTTTTTACAACAAAAAAAAAAAATCTGGTGTAGGGAGTAGTATCCTTTAAATAATTTTGCCTCAAAAGGATCAAACTACATGTATTCGTTAATAATACAGTTATCAGACATTGTTATAGTAAAACCTTTAGGAAAAAAAGCTAAAATTTGAATATTTGAAGCCACCTCTCACCTGAATCATGTGACAGAAACAAAAACTATCTGCTCTGTATATATCCACTTCTATAAAAGAAGAGAGTTTTCCTAGGAGATTATTATTTATCTATCTAGCTAGTTAAACAACAGTAATCTCTTGACTAGGATGTCATAATTCCTACAAACAGGTGAATACTTGAAGTAAAAAGTTTTGTCTGCTGCTATCTGTTAAACTCCACCTTAATTATTGTTTGTAGGCCTTACCGAGGATTGGGGCTCAAGGAGAATACACAAACTTTCAAAGTGCTTGTAAAATATTTGTGTCATCCAAGTAATTGTAATAAACACAAAGAATAATATATCTCCCACTATGTAATGATACAATATAGAGAAATAGTCAATCATATTTTTGGGTTGGGTTTTATGTCACACCAACATAGTATAGATCATATGGTGTCTTTTCAGCTTTACCGGTGGAGAAAGACCTCCTGTGCCCCCCTGTACATTATTTTAGACACAAACAGGCACCTGAGCAGAACCACTAACGTTTGATAAGCAAGATGGATAGCTTTTTCACATGCAGAATCTGAAAAGGAAAGATGAATATAGGCCTTTACTTAAATAACTAACTTATTGAAAACTTAGTTACCATGGAAAATTTGTTCAATTTAAAAGTCATTGAGTTGTTTAATATAAGGAAAGAAAAGTCCCTGTTGAATTGTTATACTGACCAGACAATGATATCATCCCCAGCTTTACATACATCTACAAGATCATCCTCTAGTACCACCCAGATAGATCTGGGGATCGTACCCATAGCCAGTCGCTGCACTTGCTCCTGTATCTTGATTTCCTGGTAGTTCCGGCACTTGACTGGTTGACCACCTGACAATGGATTTATTTATTACAATCTCATGATGTAACTCTTTTATAATGACTGTCTTTTTATAAATGTCTAAAAAGTTATCAGTATGACACATGTTTACTTAAGAACTTAAAAGTATAACAAAAAATTCAAAATATCAAGGCACAAAGCCATATTTTCAGAATAAAATTCCTTTGAATTTGAATGTACAGGTTTGCTGACAACATTTAAGAATTTTGACACAATTACTGCACTGCAAAATATTAATCATATATTCCTTTAATGAAATGGCAGGAAAGTTATTCTTTCACTGTGATATTCAATGTAAAGAAATATTATAAAAGAACTTTCATACACTGTAATAATATCAAAGGACTGAAAGTACTGGAATCCAGAGCATTAAAGACTCTAGTATAATAAGATGATTTCAAGATTTTTATAACTAAATATATTAAAAACAAACATGAATCATGCAAATGTAATTCATTGCTGGTCCTTGGTGTGAGAAACTGTTAAATGTTAATATGTCATCTACTTTACAACAGACAAGTCTCAGCCCAACTTATTGGCAGTGTACAAAAGCTAGCAGTCAAATGGAAAAGAAGCCTTGTTGTCAGTACAGACCTGAATATATGCAGACAAAATGTTTTCACATAAAATCACATTAAACTTGAATATCTGGCTTGAAAATAATTGTTTTAAGCAGTAAAAATGCTCTGTCAAAGTTCTTTACACAGTTACCGAAGCTAAATTTTTCCAGCTAAATACAGGATTCCCAGGTTAAAATATTGACACATTACTGATAAAACTAATTAAAGATGTTGACAATGATAGCAATTAATAAACGGTACCTTTGTCAGAGACCAATGTGAAGTTAGTGGAGTTACATACATCATTTGTACATTTCACTGGTTTACCTAGACTGCTATACTGAACCAAATCTGCCTGTATACATATATATAAATAAAATTATAATTCTTCAAGGGTCAACACCATTAAAAAAAAACATTCAGTTTTTTTAATAATCAAAAAGATTTCTTAAACCTACTTCAAAGTATAAAACACTTCTACATTTATTGTAAGTAATGGTTATATCATATTTCTGATTAATTAATAAATCCACGGACTCAGCCAAGTAGGAAGTGCTTACCGGTATATCTTGCTGACCTTAGATTCATAAATTCAAGTATACTGGCATTTTTTCATTGATAATTTATTGGTAAAAGGGAGATAATCTTACTTTTTGTGTGATAACAGCTTTACACTTGTTACATATATAGTCCTTCTCATATTCTAACACTCTTATATTAGTTGTTCTTATCACTGTACCTACAAAAATAATATATCATGAAACAACCTTTACAAATTATATAACTTTAATAATGTCAATTTCTAACAAGAGCTGTCACAGGAGACGGCGAAGCTCGACTTATTAAATACTGGACGCAGTAAGGAAGACAAAACCATACATGCCATTACGTCCCGGATGCCCGGGATTGTCCCGGAAATCGGATGTCTGTCCCGGAGATGTCCCGGGCATCGATTTGATCCCGGAAAAAAAATATTTTGCAAAATTTTCATAAATTTTCTTAAATCAAATCTCGCACATTTCACCTCTCGATTGTAAAATATATTCTGACCTGGTACACATAATACACAGAAACGTTGACACTTACAAGTTTACAATATACAGCCCCCCAATTATCGACTATCGATTCCCCTCGGCAATAGCTTTCTTCATGCATCGGCAATTAACATTCTCTATTGAATTCGGCAGCATTTAATGGTCGGGTTAATTAATGGTTTACGGCCCTTAACAATTATCGTTAATCCCCGATAACCATTAATTTTTAGATCAATCGCTTACTTGCCCAAAGTCTAATTATTACAAACAATGTAAATACATCCATCAAATAAAACATTAAAGGTGTCAAATAAATTAACTTGCTGTGTTTGTTTTGATGACTGGAAGAATTGCATTACGTGACATGAAGTAATTATCACGACTTTAAGATATAACGGATGAACAACATGGCTGCACCCATTCACCGGGTTTATAACTTACAACTTACTTGGGAATAATAAATGAAATAAAGAAATACTATAAAATGATAAAGATGTCTACCTAAAAGACTACTTCTAAAACTAGTAAGTTAACTGTTTATCATTAAAATTCAGGAGAAAGTCGTCCTAATTTAATAACGTTACACGATTGACACACCCCCCCACACCCCCCTCCCCCCTTATCCACAACTGCCTCCACATCCATTATTGCCGCAATGAAAAGTGTCCCGGAAAGCTGTCCAAAAATTATGGCATGTATGACAAAACTATGAAAGAAAAATCAATTATGATATAAATATATTTCTGTATCAGTATCAAGAAATATTTTACTACACCAAAACTTAAAACTGAAATCTGGATGAGGACACTGGACCAAGTAGGACAGCTCTACATATACTTGGTTAAGTCAAGCTAAAAACTTGACAATATTAACAATATGCAATCTTTACATTTTATTTCACGTAGAAGGTATAAAGTACAAAATGAAAATTGTTTCTTCAACAGAGGAATCCATTTTTGTTACTGATGTAGCAATCAATCTGGTATCCCTTATTTTTAACCTGAGCAGTCTACGCAAATTTATGATTTTCGACAGTCACCTCCGCAAATTCAAAATAGCACAAATATTTGTATAGACCCCCAGAATTAAGGCTCCCACGTTTACAATTTTTTGTAAACATTTACCGAAATGATACCGTTTAAACGGTGGTACTCTTATGTACTATACTACACCATGTATTCAAGCCTCCAAATGATGACTTACTTTATATTTTTAATACATGTACAAATAAATAATGTTCAGGGCTCATCACGATTGATCACGAGCGATTATTGAACCGTGATACTGTCTAGCGATTTATAACCACCCATTTTCCGATTAGAATTAATAGAATTAATGATTATACAGGTAATGATTAATATTTTTTGTAAGACAATTATGGTCATTTCCATTAAACGGTAAAACATTTTGTAAACGTTTACGAATGAAAATCGAAACGGATCCGTTTAAACGAGTAACCGTGGGGGCCTTACCAAGAATGGACCTTTCTGCGAAAATTTGTTTCCGCAAATTCAAATACACATACAGTAGTGCATCCTTTTGATGTTATAAACAGCTCTACAGTATTCACAATTTGTTTCTAAAATACATGTTCAGACAATGAGACAATGAAATAATCAAACCTGTAAGAGCTAGGAAGTTTCCCACATCTGAAGTTTTAGGTACAGAAACTCTGGTAAACTCTGGTTGAACAGGAAGGGAGGTAATCCTTGCATGAACATTGGGCTTAATACACTGAAAATATTTTCATTTACATATTTATATTACAATTCAAAAAGATGAATATCTGCATTATTTTGTAATTTTCTTAGTGTTTTAAATTACATTTCATAGATACCGAATTGGGATTAAATCATTACATTATCAAAAGTGCATGTATATCTTTAAACTATCTTAGAGCAGCAAAGGTTTTCCTAACATTATGTGAGCGTTTCACTAACATTCCCTCAGTTTTGCATTTCTTTTTACATAAATGTGAACTTGCGCAAAATGTAAATTCACGTTGGTTGCGTTTCACTAGACAAAATATGCAATTTACGCAAGCAATAAGTGGGCATAACTTAACATTTAAACTTACGCAAATGCGTAGCTAAGAAAGTTTAGTGAAGCACAAATAAATATGTAACTTCTGCTAATGCAAAAAAGTTTTATTGATGTCACATATGATGTCATATGACATGTAAGCATTCCTGATTTATCCAGTTGACATATCCTGTAATAATGCACTTGATTCCATATGTCTTTAAGGAATGATGTAAATTGTTTTACAATGAGAAATTTGGGTAAAAGATAACTAACCTATTAAAACCTGTACTTTGTTCCAGACGATAATGCATGTATAATAATAATGTACATGTATGAATGGTATTTTCCATAAAAAGGCCACTTATGCTTAATTATTTCTAAGACAAAATTGGAAACTTTCATTCTATTCCGACAGTTTGAAAAAGGCCTATATTCCGCCTCTATTGTTTACAAAAAAAGCCAACATCAAATAAAGCACAAACGTTACCTGATCTGACTTATTTCCTAGCTGATCATAGATGAGAGTTTGAGCCTCAACTAGGGCAGCATCAAACACTGGTAGTAACAGCAATGGCGAGGTACACAAGGTGTAACATATTGTCATACACCTTTCAAACAATGACAGGGCACTGAAATAAAATTATTGTTAAATTTTTCTAATCTCATGGCTAAAATTTTGCTGACAATTATACAATGTAATTTACAAATTACACAGTAATCCCCAGCTGATTAGCCAAAGATTGTGACATAACTTAGATAACCTGTGACATCAGTTAGTGCCATAGTAACCCTTTTTGTGGTTGTGGTTGTTTGTTGCAGGTCATATAACAACTTTCCAACTTTACTGCTGGTGGAAGACCTATGGTGCCCCTCTGTGCATTATTTCAGGCAAAAACAGGCACTTAAGTAAAACCATCAAAATTCTGTAACCTAGCTGGCTAGCTATTCTTTCACATGAAAGAATTTGAAGACACTGGCGCATGTCAAACCTGTAGCAGTGTCAGAGTGGCAAGTGGTTTGAAGTTAATAACCTTAATAACTTGGCCATGGATGCCCAACCTAACTGATTCAAGCAGAAATTTTATCTAATTATTTCATTCTGTTTTCTGTCGTATAGATATATTTAATATATGCATGTTTCTTTTCATAATTAAAGATAATAGATAATTATAATATAATTCTAATTATTAGTAAGGGACAACCTTTCATACATATCGCAGATGATAAGGAACTTACTTAACAGTGATTGAATAGTGCTCATTTTCATCCTCTTCTTGTAGAATTTCCCTCAACTCAACTTCATGTCTCTCTATGGCATAGCACTGTAATGTCTCTAAATACAAAATGCATAATCATTCAGGGATTTTTTATTTGGCTTATTTTATAGCCGACATTCTGTCATATTCCCAATTCAAAATAGTTTATTATTTTCCCAATCCACATGAAATAAATCCCAATTGAAAGTTACAAAATAAAAATATTGCATAACAATTTCTTAAATCTTAGAAAATGAGGGCTTCTTCACTGTTATGGTGTTTAAATGTTTGAAGATGCCATACTTGACAGTGATTCTTTGCATTTATTTATAAATCACTGCAATATTTAAGTTGTGCATTTTTTCCCAATCTTTAACAAAACATTGCTTAAATTTCTAATTCCATAGGTATGGGTAATGTTCCCAAAATCCTGGAAAAAAAACCTGTCATTATCTATAAAATACATCACCTAAATGTTATTTTGATTAATGCAGTAAAGGTTTTTCATTTTTATCTTTCTATCTATCTATCTTCCATTAATGTCTATCTCCTCATGGGGACATGGACACAACTCTAGACTTCAGAGACAGCTATGAGATACAAGATAATCCGGGAACCAATCCCTAGCTCTTATTGAATAGACCCCTTGGTTCTTTTACATGCCCAGTGTATAGCACTGATACATGCAAGGATTACCTTGATTTCTTACCAGTACACCTCTATGTAGGTGGGAAACACTGAAAGTGTCTCTGAAAAATCCAAAGGATGTTACCCAGGATCGAACCCGGGACCTCAGGAGTGACAGTCAGTGGTCTAACCAACTGAGCTATCACGCCACCTTATCTGAGTCAACAGATGTGCTAACCAAAGTAACCCAGCCAAAAGTTTACTGTATTGAGGAGCCGATTGAAACAAATTTGAAACATGACTTCTAATATGAATATTCTTATGAGTAAAGAATTCGCCACTAACAGAATCTGATGTATACAGTTTATAAGTATATTTTGAGTTTCATACAAATCTTGCTATTTTCTTCTATGCTCTGATCTAGACAAGTTTAAGGCATCATTAGCAAGTCTTAAGCACCTTTTTTTTAACACTGTACGGAATTTATTTGATTTATGTCTTTGATGAGATAAGGGAACCATGCAGGTCACCTGTATTACCCCATATCAAAACTTATACTAATAATTAATCTGTTCATAATAATTATCAGTATACTAGTATGCGAGTATGGTAAACTTTCATTATGCCCCATGAAAAATTTCGGGGGAACATAATTATAGTGGCCGGGTTGTCCGTCCTTACGTCCGGAATTCGTGTCCGGCCCATAACTTGATTATTTGAAGTCGGATTTTACAACTATTTCACAGAAATGATCACCATATTGAGACAACATGTCCTGGGCAACATTTGAGTCACTATCTTGAAGGTCAAGGTCACAGCATGACCTTGCAGCAAAATTGTGTCAGGCCCATAACTTGGTTATTTAAAGTCGGATTTTACAACTATTTCAAAGAAATGATCACCATATTGAGACGTGTTGCGCGCAACATTTGGGTCGCTACTTTGAAGGTCAAGGTCCCAGCATTACCTTGCAGCAATATCGTGTCAGGCCCATAACTTCCTTATTTGAAATTGGATTTTTCAACTATTTCACAGAAATGGTCACCAGATTGAGATGACGTGTCGTGCGCAACATTTGGAATGTAACTTGAAGGTCAAGGTCACAGCATGACCTTGCAGCAAAATCATGTCCAGCTCATAACTTCCTTATTTGAAGTCGGATTTCACAACTATTTCACAGAGATGATCACCATATTGAGACAACATGTTGCGCGCAACATTTGGGTCGTTATCTTGAAGGTCTACCTTGAAGGTCAGGCCCATAACTTCGTTATTTGAAGTCGGATTTGACAACTATTTCACAGAAATAATCACCATATTGAGACGTGTCGCTGGCAACATTTGGGTCACTTTCTTAAAGGTCAAGGTCACAGCCCATAACTTTGTTATTTGAAGTCAGATTTTACAACTATTTCATAGAAATGATCACCATATTGAGACGAAGTGTTGCGAGCAATATTTGGGTCGCTACCTTGAAGGTCAAGGTCACAGGATGACCTTGCAGCAAAATCATGTCTGGCCCATTAATTCCTTATTTGAAATTGGATTTTACAACTATTTCACAGAAATGATCACCATTTTGAGACGAAGTGTTGTGGGCAAGGCCACAGGATGACCTTGCAGCAAAATCATGTCTGGCCCCAGCGTTTTTTTTCTCTTCTTTGGGAATGGTGCCGGTACCAGACTGATTGGGAAAAAATGCGTTATTTTGACTTATATTGGGAATATTTTTTAATGCATTTTTTCAGCTACAAATAAGATTAATCATCATGAACAAAGATAGCTAACAGCTTCCACTGTCCAGGTAGAACTATGAAGTGGTGATTTATATGAATATGTTGGATTTAAATGATTTCAGAGAAATTACTTGACCTTGTGGGAATTTTGAACAGCCATTTTGGGAATTTAAACATTGGAAATTTTAATGTCTATTTTCTATTGGGAACAGTACCGTTTTAGGGTAGTAGTTATATAAAGAAAAAAAACACTGGGCCCATAACTTCCTTATTTCAAATTGGTTTTTACAACTATTTCACAGAAATGATCACATATTGAGATGACTTGTCGTGTGTAACATTTGGGTCGCTACCCTGAAGGTCAACTGGTCACAGAATGACCTTGCAGCAAAATCGTGTCCAACCCATAACTTCGTTATTTGAAGTAGGATTCTACAATTATTTTAAAGAAATGATTACTATATTGAGATGACGTGTCACATGCAACATTTGGGTCGCTACCTTAAAAGTCAAGGTCACAGCATGACCTTGCAGCAAAATCGTGTCTTACCCATAACTTCGTTATATTAAGTGGGATTTGACAACTATTTCACAGAAATGATTAACATATTGAGACGACGTGTCACACGCAAGTAGGTAGATAGAGCTCATCAAACTTTTTTTTAAGTAATATCGGAAAAATGACGAATTTAGAATCGAGACATCTACGTTAAAAAATCGTTACATTCAATCAAATTTGAGTACTACAAACCCTTAAAAAGGCTTTTTATCCCGATGGTTTGTTGGGGATAAAATTATATCAGAATTGATGTTTTTGTATACTTATTAAAGTATTCTACGCAAATAACTGATCTACTGATTGATTTATTTACCTTTAAGCTTTCCAACTTCATTGTCGGACAACGGTTTGATAGTCTGGCTCATTTAGAAAAGAAAATCAATCCTTAAAAACGAGACATTCATTTTTGAAAATTCCCCCGCATTTTATGTAAGGTTATCCATTATTTTAGATAAGTGTAAAAATCACAACCCTAGTAGGCAATAATACACCAAAATCAATCGGAACACTTCGACGATTATTCATAATCTTAGGCCAATGACCACTAAATAAAATTAAAATCATCATGAGGTATAGCAGTGCTAAAATTTGTGCAAAACAATCTTTATTGTTAGTTTATGTGGGACTTCACATGCGTTTCAAATAAAAAGAGCCCCATAAAAAAGGAGATTTTCTTGATTTCGTTGGTATGTCCATAAAGCATGACAGATCTCGACACTGTTTGTGTATGGCAGATTGATACGTAATTTCGAATAACAAATATTTTTGATGCATCATATCTTTAATTGTATATCCTTTCTTATGCTTGTAGTCTTTACGTGTTCGTGTCAATACTTATTTTTATAGGTTTGAAATTTAGGCAAACATCTTATGCCGCTTCTGTCTTAATCGGAACACCTCGGCCATTATTCATAACAGGGTTTTTCAAATAGAACTTAAAGAAAGACCCCTCAGAGTTAATACGGACTGAAAGAAGTTCTACCTCTTGGCAATAGATGTTAACGTCAACAACAGAGGGTGAAATCTTTATTAAATTAGAAACAAAGGTATTTGTTTTTACATCCAGTGGAAAATAAAGTCAATTCGGCATTAATTAAAGTTGTTATTAAAAATATGTCTGACTTTCTGAATCGTTTAAAGAATGACTATTGTCAACAAATATAACCAAATCCGGAATGTTGTCAACGGGTGTGAACTTTCGTTTCCTTAAAATATGAGTAATAGTTAGAATATAGATAATGTACTTTTTATTTGTAACTGATATTTTTACTTAATTTCAGTGGACGTGTACACGATATCATGAATATAAACTAACTTGATATTAATGATCTCGAACTTAATATATACATATTTGTATATGCATAGCATTTATTTACATTCCTTTACCGCCGTTTTGAGGGTCATTATTAAGATAGGATAAAAAAAATCTCTTATAATTCTATCATCAACATAAAAACTAGCATGTTGGTGCTATAATTTTTTTCCTTCTTGATATTTCACCTAAATGAGCTATTCATTTTCTATATGATATATATGTAATATATAAATAATGCGCTGTTTACTTTTATATCTATAAATTAACTTAATAAAGGTGAACTTCTACTAGATACGTTGGAATAAACTTAGTCAACAACTCCTAACATTACATTAATAATATTTGTTGACATGTTTAGTTTCTTAGCGTAGGTTACACCGACGTAATGTACCCGTTCCGTTTATCCTCACTATTGTGTTTGAAAGGTACCACACCACACTATTT